TAATAACAAAAATGATAAGAAATATAATAATAGTAGCGTAAAAGTACCAGTAGTGACCACAATTAAGAACATTTTTTAAAAAATTTCTCTAAATTATTGAGCTTTAGTACTAAATTCGTTATTTGAAACTCAAAGGGCGATTAGCAAACCTCTTTCTGAATAGATTAATATAGTCCATGTTTAACCTGTTATATTGAGTATTAGTGTGTTTTCAAACTCCGGTATTGTTCCAGTAGGGACCACTTAAAAACTACTAATTTTTGATAGATACTCTACTTAGTAATGGCCAATCCATTTGGAGTACCTACGAGTAGACCTTGTTTGAGTTAAAAAATATGGGTTCTTGTTACATCCTTTTAATTACAATATTAATGTTTTTTCAGCTTATTCTGTGAAAAATAAATTATCTTTGTTCTAATCCTCACCAATAGAAGGCATAAACTCCGCGTTCTGTAAGTTGGCAGAAAAAGGGAAGACACCAATTTTCGCAATCAAACTTGGTGCTTGGAAACAGTGTCCACTTCTGGTGTCGTGACCCTAAAAGCAATATTACTATCAATTGGTGGTATATTCTTTTAGGGTATTTCACGCGGCTAAGGATTCGATATTTTGGATCCGTCGTTTAGAATTTTTATTTAAATCAATATTCAGTTTTCTATTCGAAACATTTAAATAATACTCACCGTTTATTTCAGAGGTTAAAATGCAAATCTAGGAAGGACAAAAAAAATATTTTCCGTCTGCCATAATTACTTTGTTTTTGAGTTTGAACCTTTCTTCTATTGTTGCGACCACAGAGTATTTGAAAATGGCATGAACCATCGCGCACTGTGAAAGGCAGGGTGCATTTTATATGGCGATGGCTCTAAGTTAGAGATCTTATATTTTTACCGCGATAGTCCTGAATTTTTAACCTTTGTCCCGGTGTCCCGGCAAATCATTTCGGGACCCTAGAGTGTCACGGATTTTTAAAACTTCAAAAAGGTCGATATGTTCTGCTAACATGTACGGCTATTTTGATTATGTGAAGTTGATTTTGTCGAACTCTTCGTCAGCCTGACAACGATTCTTTAGAAAGATTCGTTCGTTCGCTTGCGTCGTTCCTTTTCGTTCGCGTGTGAAGTTGTTCGTATTTGATATAATTTCGGGGAGCTAAATGTTCAAACTAATAGCGAGATTGAATAAAAACAAGCAACAAAACACCTAAGAGAAAGAGTTTTGTGTGAAAATGGAAAAGGCGATTTCCATTCGTAAAGGAAACTTCTGACTATTCCAAAGCAAAGTGGAATGTCATCTACCATGCGGTATTTATTTTTTACATACTTTTCCAAGTTTTTAAAAATTATTAGTCTGTGTCATAATTGACAATTCATTACTCTCATTATGCACTTATTTTATACGTACTGCAAAGAGAATAGTTATTTATGATGAGAGTGGCAAAAGTGACACTTTATTTCGCGACTAGAAAAGGTTGCGGCATGAGGCACCACAGTTTCTACACCTAGGAAGTGTGCATGAGGCCGATACCCCGAGTGCCGCAATCCCGCGAGCAAAATAAAACCACGTACCACGTGTGTCATTCACTATTGTGTAAATAGCCATTCATTTTATTTTAAATCAAGAATACAAATCACTTAATGATACATGAAGATCAGGCCGTAGCGGATGCGTTCAGGCGAAAGTACTGTTTTCTTTTTTGCATTCACAAATTTATCCGAACATTAGAGCATCACCTCTCTTTTACCACTAGCACTAAAACGTGTATTCTCAGCAGGCTAAGCATGCCGCTTTTACTAGTAGCTGTCTAAAAAGTTCTTTCTCTGTTCATAGAGTATTCTGAATATTGGTATTTTGTTTCGTACGGACCTTAACATTTTTTTGTGTTCCGGTTTTTCGTTTTAAAAAGTGAGACTCCCATCTGAGTCGTGATCAGAATTAGGTGAGGGTTGTCCAAATGGTGGCCCGCGGGCCGCATGCGTACGGCACCATTTATTGTGGCCCGCGATTGGTTACGAGTATTAGTGAAAAGCGAAAGTCTCTTGCATCCATGTCGGGCGAGAACATTGCGCGTCTATCGGGATCAACCCCCTTGATTCAAAAATAGGTGAAATTTAGATTTAAGGATTTTTTCCTAGTATGTTCATAAATTCGAAATCATCCCAATGCGTTTCGCTGAGTTGTGCGTGGTACGACCTCATGTCGCGCAGGGTTCCGTCCCCGCTCCTCTGTCAGAGCAGCCGTGCGAAATGACGCGATCCTAACAATAGGGGGAAGTGAAGTGTGGTTGAGCCTTATTAAAGGCGTCGGTTGTGGCAGGTGAAGGAGTGTGCGGCGTGCGAGCGCGCGTGCGCGGCGCTGCTGGCGGCGGACGAGGGCCACGCGGGCGCGAGGGCCGCGCTGGCGGAGCTGGCCGTGCGCGCTCACGACCTGCCGACCGCCGCCGCGCACCTGCAGCGCCTGCTGCGCGACCGCCCCACGCACTGGCGCGCCCTCGCGCGCCTCCTCCAGGTGGCCACCACCGCTCCGCGACATTCGACTTTCTGCCAGACAAATAGTTGAATGACTTAAGGATCGTTAACATGACTAATGATTTTCAAAAATTGAACAGAAGTAATTAATAGTTATTCTTATATTAACTGCGTGAAGTTTTTGTTTTTATGCACGGTCGAGATTGAGGAGTTTTGCCTCAACCTATCGGTCTCGGTAAAAAAAACCTCAATCGTGATCGAGCAAAAACAATAACTCCATTCACGAAATACAATATAAAAATTTTCTCTGCGATCGTATAAAACTGCTTCTACTAGAAAGCAAGCTTTGTTTCATCTTTATTCTTCATGGTTCATTCGAAAGGAACCCACTACTTTCGTCAACGTTTATTTAAGGAGGTCCTTGTTTCGCGACACGAGGTAGTGAGGAATCGTTTTTCGTACGAGATCCTTTTGTGTATCTGGTTCATCGTGGATGCCGTCGGAGGGGCGTCCGGAGGGGTGGGGACGCGAGAAATTGTAAACTCGAAGGGGCAAAACTGCGCGTATGTGAGCCCTTTCGAGATACGGTTATTTTCGCGACATGCAAAGCTAGAATGGTCAAACACTCCCGAACGTATACGGGTCCCTTTAGAATCCGTGTTGGCGAGTCTTGGCTTGTCTGGAGCCCAGGACCAAGTGACCCCGGGTAAGAATGCCGCACTCGACAATGGAGCCTTTCCTGGTGGGTGATTGGAAATCCCGTCGATCGGCACGGCCTGCTCGATAGAATGGGTTCGAAAGCTGTTGGAATGATAAAAGGCTTAAATAGAGTTTACCTTCTAGACACAGGCTTGGGGCACACAAATCTCTCTTATGACGCAACTGCTGGCATACATGAGCCAAGTAATAAAAATCTCATTAAGGTCTGATCATTCTCATTATTTTAATTCAATAAAGCTGATTTGTAAATTAAACCTAAGAAGTATGCTCGGGGATGAAAAAAAGGTGATGAAGATCTTGTGCTTATTCAAGAAATCACATTCGTTCATACAAATTATATAGAAAATGCACACAAAAAATTAAAACGATTGCTTTGGTCCATGATCGTTACTCCAACCCTAAACTGAAGGTGTAGAATGCCTCTAAGTCATGCTAGTTGTGAACGCAGGCCTACAGGCTCGGGAGGCATCAACGGGTACAGTTTCATTTTATATTATACTTACCGTATGGCATGAAATTGTAATCCAACCAGATTCTTTGATCTGCCAACTCACATGAATGACATCCTTGGCTGCCGCCAGGTGTACCGTCGCGCGGGCACCTTGGAGCTGGGCAAGGGTCTGCTGGACGCGGCGGAGGCGGCGGGGGTGGCGGCGGCGGCAGGCGGGCGCGGCGGGCGGCGCGGGGGCGGAGGGGCACGCGGGGGTTCCCCCGGGCGAACTCTTCTGCCGTGCGCTCTTCACGTGGTTCTCGGGCAGCCCGCGACAGGCGTGCCACATGTTCGGCAACCTTCGCCACGACGAGGAGTGGGGGCTCCCGGCCGTCTACCACATGCTGGACATCTGCATCGACCAGGACGACCTGCTCGCCTGCGACGTGCCCAAGAGCGAAGACCCGGACCCCGACGACGACCACGACGTGTCGCTCAAGGTGGCCAGCCGGCTCCTCGCGGAGCTCAGGTCCAAAGTCCCCAAGGGAAGCAGCGTCGGTTTGAGGAACAGGATCCTGGAGAACCTCCTCCTGCTGGCTTCCAAGCGAAAGGCTAGCATCCAACGAGCGACGGACGATTTCGTCTTGTTGATGAAAGAGAAAGAGAACAAGGACAATGTCACCATTGCTCTGGGCATGGCGATAGCTTTGGTTCTGGGCAAAAACGTTTCGCGAGCGAAACATATTCTGAAAAGGTTTGTTAAATTTGATTGGAATGTTGAGGATAGTGCGGATTTGGAACGTTCCTGGTTACTCTTAGCTATCCTCTACGTCCAGAAAGGAAAACACGGAACGGCAAATAAGCTTCTGAAACGAATACTCGGACATAACAAAGGTTACTGCAAAGCGTATCAGTACGCTGGAGTAATTGCAGAAAAAGAGCAGTATTATTCCGAGGCCGCAAAGCAATACCAGAATGCTTGGAAGTTTGGTGGTTATTCCAATCCTCAAGTTGCATACAGAATGGCATATAATTACATGAAGGATAGAAAATATGTACAAGCTTTGGATACATGTCAGACTATTAAAAAATTACATCCTGGATTTGCCGACACATGTCTGGATATAGTTGAAATATGCAGAAATAATTTAAGAACGTAGAATATAGTTCATATTTGTATTTCGTCCATTGCATGTTATTTCTTACATTTACATTTCCAGTTTCCAGTCAATTTTCAAGAATAGAACAATAATACAGAATGTATGCTACACATAAAAGTACAATATGATTTAATTTTGAATTTCTGAGTATTCATCTTCTTAAATAAGCTTGACCACAAATAACAGAAAACAAAGTGCTCAAACATTAATGTTAACTTATCAGTTTGTCAGTTTTCATTTTAATTTTTTATAAAAATATATTTTTACTGTTAGATACAGTAACAGCTCCAAAGCACTTAATTTGAAATCTAAGGAATTGGAGTAGCTTGCACAGCAATGCTTTCTATTCCCACTTCATTCACACCCCGACGAATTCTGAAGTATCCGTTCTCGCCCCAACTTTCTCCCCAGCTGTTCTTCACAATCCAGTATTTTTCACCAGTTTCACCATCAACACCATATCCCACAACAAGAACAGCATGATTCACCAACTAAAAGAGAAATTGCTTTCAATAACTCAAAAAACAGGCTGATATCTTGTAAAGAATTTCAAACGCTGAATTAAAGAAAATATATGTGCATTGCATTCACTAAAACATTTTACTAATGACCATTAACAAATTGGCTGTAATGTAACAGGAGTACAATGAAGAACTATTATTCCAACCTTTCTTTTTATTGTAATACAAATCAAGTGATTATTATATCGATTTATTCATGTGCCAATTGTAATATAGTAAATGGTCAATTAACAAAGAGTGTAAATTAACAAATAGCAATGCTCATGAAATTTTGTTGGTACCACACATCATCAATTCAAAACTGCAGAGTTCTTCAGAATATACGAGAAATGGAAAAAAACATTTAAGCATCTTACCACAAAAGGATTAAATGAAGGACTTCCAACCCCAGTGTAGTGATATATTCCTCCTTTATAGCTCATGAAATCTTGATGAACTTCAAAAGCCACTGATATCGGGCCTCCTTGAAATAGTGCAAGTTGCATGGCATACTCATTGCAGCCACCGTAATACCCTAAAAATAAATGGCATTACAAGTGTTTGTAATAATAAAATTCGAATTTCTTAAATACTTTCTTGATGTGCTTAGATCTGTATACATCATCATCATCTTTGAGCACATTTATATACATAACCAGTATTCTAGAAAGGTTTTATTAAATTGAAAATCTTTCACACAGAGAATAACTTTCCTATTTATGGAACTTACAAGCATTACTCACCCCCAATATAACTGTAGCGAGCTGTATAATGCCTATAGCAGGTGTCTCTTGTGCAAGGACCATCATGTCCTTGGTATGGATTGCATTGCTCGGGAACTACTCCAAAATCCTGAAACAAGAATTAAAAATCTGTTTTATCACGGGTGTTTTGATGATTGTAAATACCAGTACCTCTGTTAAAAAAAACTCATATTGGATTACCATTGATAATTTTTCAAAAGTAAATGTTAGAAAAATTAATGTTTTCAAATGTGCCTTCAAAATTAGGGATATATTGCTTTGTGGTATCAACCAAACAAAGTATATCTAATTTTTACAACATTTGTTTTGAAATATTTTAATTTATGCATGAAAAATGTGAACTTGAGCCAATGTCAGTTACCTATTTCAATAAATACATACATACATGCATACATACACAATTTCCTCTACACACTTTGTTTCTATGAAATAAAAATAAGAATCGAAACGGTAAATCTCCTCCAAGAATCTTCAAGTGCACGGTAGCCCAAGTTAATTTTTTTAACCTTTTTGTAAAAATTAGTGAGAGATTTCAAAAAACCTTTCACATTTTAAATACTATGAGAAGGTGAGATTGAAAAAGTTCACACAGCATCAAAATAACAACCACACCTAATATTTTTTCATACCTTTGCCAAAATATCTTTCAATTATTTTCCAGATACTCTTCTTCTTCATATTTGTCTTAAATGAAAATTTGATATTTTCACTTAGGTTTATATTTTTGTGGAAAATGATCTCAAGTTTTGTGGGATTTTGGAAGTTGTTGAATAGGCCTTAGCTGCAGCACAAGAATAGAATGTTTTCTCGTGTACTTTGGGAAAACCATAAACCTTTTCTTTACTTTTCACATAATTATAATTTACAATTATTTGAGCATAAGAGTTATGTATTGTTGCACTTTGTGATTTTAAAATGCATTTTGAATGTAATAATTATACATTGAAATTAACTATTAATATATTTGAGTTTTTATGAAATATCATAACACATCTTATTATAATACAAGAATGAAGAATAAGGCTATTAACTCATGTTTGATAAACAATAAAGTATTATAATAAAATATTTTCATATGAATATTGTATTACTTTTATCCACTTTTTAAAAATTCAAACTCTGTAAAATATATTTTTTTATATTGACTATTCTTCACGGAAAATGTTACAGATAATATTATTAGTAGCTATTAACAGGCCATGGATTACTAGAACACTAGTGTTCTAACAGCCTCAATTTCATAAATACTCAATCAACTGATCTCGATTCCATAATGTTTCACTTCAGTCGAAGTGAATAAATACAATTATAAAGGAATATAATTATACCACCTAATTCACAAAGATAAAGCTTTCAAAAATATTCACATGAAAAATAAATTAAAATAAATAGATAGTTCTTACTTTTCCGTATCTTCCTGCTACAAGGTAAGGAAATCCACCTTCACAGCCTTGAGACAGTTCACTACAACTAACAATGTCCTGAGTTGAAAATATGGGTGTCTGTGTGTTGTTTGTTTGAACTCTGACTCTTGCTTCAAGCATACCCATGGAAGAAAATGCATAGCAGCTGCCACAAATTGCTTGATTTCTGTGAATTTGTGAACATTATTATTAATCAATTCCTATTAATTTAATTTCTCTTAAATATCAAATCATTCCATAACAAACTCTTTTTATTTTTTTTATTTTGATGTATGTAATACTTTTATTATTAATTTTCAACAATACTGAGATGATGAACAATGTGTGCAACATTTTTATATGGCATTTAAAGAGATAGTCCTTTCAAAAGAAATAGATAACAAATAACCACATATGTGAACTGAATGTTACCTTATGGGAGATACATAGTTTATTCCTCCCAAATTCCTCCAGTCAAAAGATTGAGGAAGGCCAGCAACCTTCTCCATTAATTCTTGTGTAGGAGGCACTGGCTGTGGACGGTGGGCTAGCCAAGACCTGATAGAAAGTATCTATAATGACATAATATATTTTTGAATGAATGTATATAACAATTTAGCAAAGTCTTACATTTTTCCTCCTCGGATTTTCAGTAACTCTGCATGAGTCTTTGTCAAAAAAGGTTCATGAACAGCAGCCTCCCATTTGTTTTGTTTTCTATTAATCTCGTCTACCAAGTTTGAGAAGTCTTGATGAGTTGGGCCAGATGATTCCTGTATAAAATTATAGAATATTAATAGGTAATAATAATTATAATAATTATGATACTATTGGTAAAACACACCGTCATCTCATCCATTAAATGAACAAATATTTCTTATGTCAACTTGCTGAGAAACATTTTGCTTTTGCACTGAAGTTACTTTGACTCTGTGTTACTTTTTATCTGACTATTCTTCTAAACGTCCAAAAGATTATGCCTCAGTCAATGATCTGAGGATAGTGCTGTGTATTCCCGAAGAAAAATCTACTTTTCTCTGTGCAAACATTAAAAACACAAGTTTAAAATTGGGGTGCAGTAGCCCTATATGGCGTGGGCCGATTTTAGACCGTGAGAATCTTATCTCGCCAGCATGCCCTCTAAAATGCAGTTAAATCGCTATCCGAAAATGACGCCAATGGAATCACAAGACAACAGCAGTGCTCAGAGTCCTGGAAATCTGCAGGAAGTTCCGGTGGCATTTTGGACTAATTGGGAAGTGGCCAAAAATAATTCTACAGGAAACTAGGCTTCTAAGACCAAAATGGCAAATGAATTATTTGTTGCTACTTTTAGAATTAGAGAAAATGGTGTAATTTTTACCGGAAATGACTCCTCCTATTACGTTAATGTTTGTTTTTTTAGTAATGCAATGATCACTTACCAACAAAAGGGAATGAAAAGGATCCCTGTGAACTTTAAGAGGCATTGGTCTCTGTTTCCTTCCATAAAAACATGCCCAATGCCTTAATGTCACATCGTGAGACCAACCAGGCAAAGTTTTGTCACAGACACTGGTGACATTGGGACCATCCTAGGAATTGGAAAATGTTGAACATAAGATTTGGAAATGCAAATAAAATATTTTCAAGGTTATCTTAAAACAAACTAGTGGATGTGTCAATCTATCACAACCACTGTAGCACAATCACATTAAACCAAATGGAATATTTAGTACTAATTTATTACCAATAAAGGAAATTTTTTAGTGGTCTTTTATTAAGTAAATATTGTTAAAAACTGCATTATTAGGCAACCACGCACAACATTAGAGTATTATATTAGAACAGGCACAAATAAATAAAATGAAATATATAATTACATACACATTTAATACTAATTTATTACCCCAAACAGACCTTAATGTAGGATTTTCAAAAATTTCAAATGTTACAAATATGTGAGAAATATCCCACGTCACATAGAAAAATTACACAACATTGGCAATGTTAACTTAAAACTACCATTAAATAAACAAATTTCAACTGTATGCAATTAGTTGAACAAGTTACTTACGTAGAAAATATAGTTTAAAGATATTAGTGTGGCGGTAATCAAATTATCGTTCTAGTTTCTGAACTGTACTGAAATTTATGCATTTTTAAATTGTCACATTAATATGTGAGGGGTGGCATGTGCTTTTGTAAGCTGTGCTTTGTAAGCATGTGCTTTTGTTTTATAAGCTGTTTATAATCTTCATAGATGTTCAAAACATTTATTGGCTCCCTTAATTGTATGTGTTTTATAAGTTTCAAAAGAAATTATGAGTAATATAAATTATAGTAAAGTACAGAAGAATTTGCTTGGAATGGGGAATGTTATTCAGATGGAAACTAGTGGTGCTAAAACGGCACGTACTTTCTCGACCGTACTTTCACGCAATATTAAGCGAAAAGTACTCATCTTTTCGAAAAATTGTTCATCATATTATTTCAAAATTTATCTTTAAGGAACATATTTCATTTGTTCAAATTTAAAATTTTAAAATACCAGGGTTTCAAAGACTTGCAGCATTCTCTTAATCGTCCTTCACGCTAACTAACAACCAAATTTAATAAAAAAGACAATAGAGCCATTTTATTGAAAATTTTTAAAATGTCCTGGGGGCCTCATGAAAAGAACGCACCAAAATTAAAATATTGGTTTCAAATTTAAGAGGGGGCAATTCAGCCAAATCTATAGGAGATTATTCATTTTGGACAAAATCAAAGAAATAGAGACAGAGAAATAGAGAGACTGACAGGGAGAGAGAGCGAGACTGACAGGGAGAGAGAGCGAGAGAGACTGACAGGGAGAGAGAGAGACTGACAGGGAGAGAGAAGAGAGACTGACAGGAGAGAGAGAGAGACTGACAGAGAGAGAAGAGACTGACAGGGAGAGAGAGACGAGGACTGAAGCGGGGAGCAGAGAGAGACTGAACAGGAAGAGAGAGAGACTGACAGGGAGCAGAGAGAGAGACTGACAGGGAGGAAGAGAGCCTGCGGAAGAGAGAGACTGACGGAAGAGGAGAGAGACTGAGGGAGAGAGACTACAGGGAAAGAGATGACGGGAAGAGAGAGGCAGAGAGAGAGACGACGGAGGAGAGAGCGAAGAGAGAGAGAGGACTGACAGGGAGAGAGAGAGAGACTGACAGGGAGAGAGAAGAGACTGACAGAGAGAGAGAGAGACTGACAGGGAAGAGAGAGAGACTGACAGGGAGAGAGAGGAGAGGACTGACAGGGAGAGAGAGAGAGACTGACAGGGAGAGAGAGAGAGTCTGACAGACAGAGAGAGAGAGTCTGACAGACAGAGAGAGAGAGACTGACAGGGAGAGAGAGAGTCTGACAGACAGAGAGAGTCTGACAGACAGAGAGAGAGAGAGAGACTGACAGACAGACAGAGAGAGTGAGAGAGAGACTGACAGAGGAATGACGTTTTGCCGTCATTCGATTTTTCGGTATCAAGGACCCATAAAACATGGATCCTGACTACATCACATCTCAGAGGATTTCGTTTCTAAAATCAGCAACTGGAGTAATCCACTACGTTACCAAGGTCCTATAATTAGAGTTGTCTACCGAAGTTTCGCCTTTTTCGTGCAGCATTACATTGCTTTCTCTGTATTGTGTAGTGAAAGAGTAAAATTAGCTTACCTGAATGTAGTATGACCAAGCGAAATAAGTTCGCTCATTAACAGTGACTTCGAAACCTTGATTGTATACCATAGTCCAAGTTCCAAAGTTTCCAAATTCATCTTTAGCAATATTTGGATACTGCAAATCTATTTTGATTTTTCGTTCCACTTGTCCTACGAATGATTGAGATAGTATATTTAAATTTCTATTAAAAAAGTATTTTACTTTTTGTTAATCCTTATTCAGGGTCCCGGTGCAGAATAAAAAAATAAACTTACCCATAAGTGTGCAATTTTCATGTTTGTTCTTATTACGTGCTGATTCATAGAAAGTCCATTTCCCGCTTACATCAGCAAAAGTGCAGTTGGCAGGAGTGTCTGCATAGCAATAAGCAGTAATCTGAATGCATACTAATAGAAGAAAATTTATTTTAATTGCTTCCATTGCTGAGATCTGAAACAAAATCGAGCAATTTTCGAGCAAAAACAATTTTTAGTTAAAAATACGTTTGTTTTTTTTATTTTCAACTTTATTACATAAAATCAAAATTTTAATTGTACCCAAATTTTCGTGAATGACGTTAATTTATTTTTGAAGTATGTTAATTTTTTTAAGTAAGATAATTTTTATATAAAGTACTGCATAACAATATTTTTGATAGCCACTGTAAAATAAATTGAAATCACTAGTTAAATCACTCGTAGAAGTCATTTATTTGTATGGTATTTATCTGGTAAACAAGATGGGAGGCATAAATATTTTTATTGAATTGGTGAAATTATAAAAAAATTAAAATTTAATTGTTTTGACAATACATGTTTACTGAAGCGAAAGAATAATTAAGAAAGCATGCGATACGACGAAATTATTGAAGGCCGCAAATATATTCTCCATAAATACAATGTCGTTGGGAAATAACAAGATTGGACTCGTTAGATCAAACAATTATAGGTAATGTACCAGAAATTAATAGCATGTTTTAGTTCAAATAGAACAGATAAGAATTTAAATAAGAATTACTTCGGTAACTCGGAGGGTTAAGAAACTACTAAAATGGGGTACTTTAAATTAATTCTAATTTCATTGCTTTTCTTTGAAGTATTGCGAACTCTATCCAAAAGATTTATAACAAAATTAGACTCCTTGCTTGGGTCGGTCCACGACCTGACGGAGGATGCAGAGAAGTTTGTCACGTGTTCCTTTCGCATCTTTCCTTTTTTCATGTCACCTGCAGTCTTCTCTCAAGGCCTTTTCTTCATCACTGCTCTTCTCTATATGTTGAACGCCCACCTATGTGTTTGCCGTCCTGGCAGCAAGAGCATGGGGAATGGGTGACCCGAGAGTTGAGATGTCTGTACATGCTCCACCGCTTGCCGCCCCGATGAAAATAATTTCGAGCTACATATAACACTTGCGAGCTCTGGCTTTCGTTCTACTTTTAAATTGAATTTATTATGTCGTTAAATTTCGTTATTCTTCTCCTAAACACATTTTTTGCCAGTAGTCTTCCTCAATTCAAATTTCTCCACTCTATGGTGAGTTAAGAGAGGGGGCACTGTTACCCTATCGGCAGCTCTACAAGTGTTGTGAACAGTTAGTTTTTGAAATTGGAGCTCCCGACTGGATAATAGTGTCTCTCTTCTATCTCACCAAATTAAGAGATGTTTTAATTGTAACATATATTCCTCTGTTTGTATATTTCATTGTCGTTTTTTCATTAAAACTGTTTGAATTTCATTAAAATGTGAAAAAGTTATTTTAATGTTAATTTATACAGCGAATGTAAGAAATTAATGAGTATATTTTTCGCTTTTTAAGAACCTACTTTAGGAGTTTAAAATAGTATTTGGAGCCTAAAAATCCACTGCCTGGTATTAATATTCTTAATTTGAAATTATTGTTTGTATTTCTACGTGCATTTCTCTATGAAGCATTTCTCCATCGATCTTATGTAAGCTACTAAACCTTTCTCTTAGAACAGAATAATTTGGATGTGATGCAATTCAAATTAAGCCCAGTGTTGCATTTCGATTTACCAAGGAAGCCCATACTACCGCCTGTTTATTAGAGTTCGCACCATTTCCGATTATGTTGTAAGTGGTACTCAGTTATTTTTTAATAGTGACATTTTGTACTGTAGAGAAAGAAATAATCTAGGCACCTTTAAAATGTTGCTTGATCGTTGATATGATTAATTTATGCACGGTAATATCAAATGCAATGCACCCAACTAAAGTTATGTAATTGAATCTTAAATGAAAGATGTAGTTGACTCCGTCTACAATAAAATAATGTAGCGGTAAAGTTAGAATCCTCCGCAGTATCAGAAAACACAAATTATTCATGTCACACCACGATACTAGTCGAAAAATTGCATGCGTCCTTGAATCTACAGGATGCGATTTTGCTGTAACTGCTGTTACTGCTGTAACAGAAAAGTAGCAAGTCACGCTTTAGAGGTAAATTTATCGTGTCCACCAGGTTTAAAGTGCTACAATATCAGGTTCCAGGGGAAATATAAAAGCGAGGTGTAATGTTGGCTCATTTCGTGAATTTCGCGATCTTGCTGTTAGAGATTCCATGGTTTAAGAATTGTGATTGTATCAGCTTTCCTAAGCAAAAGTGAAATGTGGATATGTTTATTTGTGGATCACCCTCATGCTGTTTGTCACTGTACGAGGGGTTCTGTAATATTAGTAGATGTAGTACATACCGCACTGCTATTGACCAATACACGAAAAACCAAAATGAATCTTTACGGTCAAAAACGGAAAGAAATTATTTGTAAAAGAGAGCACACATTTTTTCTCACCCGCAGCCAATCATTATAAATGAGGTCTCTAAAGAAAGACAATTTTACGGAGACGTGACGATTGCACTTTGATTTAAAAAATGTGAAGTATTAAAAAACGTATGTAAATATTCATATCAAATGCAAACCCGCAGCTCACTCCAAAGCCTCAAATTACGTTTCTCAAACTGTAATCTACTGGAGAGATCTTCTTGAACATTCTATTACATTTTTTTTGGTCCGGGACTTCTCGGAATTTCCCCACCAGTTCAGAACGTGCGGAATCTGCAAATAAATGTGTATGAGAGGGAAAGAGAGGCGGAGAAGAAGAGAGAGGGAGAGAGAGACTTGTAGAGATGAAGAGGGAAGGTGAAAGAGGGAGATGAAGGGCAGAACGTCTGCCGGGTTCTGCTAGTCTAAAATATTTAATGTAAAGGATTTACTATTGTTTCGCAACGCACACTTGAAATGAGAAAAGGTTCGCTCAATGCAACATTAAATCAATGTTGCGAATTTCACAAACGCCATCGTTCTCAGTCTCCAAGTAATTATCCAACTATTTCTTCTCCTAGAAGAATTAGTACATTTGAGTCTTTCATCTTTGGGAATCCAGTATTTCGTTGAGTTTTCGAGAGGTTAGTAGAGAACACACCTACAGTCCCTGGTAGTTTCATGAAACAGCTTAAATAATGTTCATTCCTTCGTTTTGTAAAAGACGTGCACCTAAGTTTTAATGGGAAATCGATATTATTCTATTTAGTAGCAATAAAGTCAGCAACTTTAGATGCTGAGCCCAGGACACCGTAAAATTATGTTCAACTGAGATTTGAGATTTCTTACACAAACTGCACTGTTTTTAAGAAATCTTGATTTAGCATTTTTTAAGATTATAACTAATTTTAGTTGTTTTTGAGATCTGTAGGATTCCTTCATTCGGCCGAAAAATAATTAAACGGATATGTGTATTACAATAATGACGTTAAGAAGCGAGGAACAAAATAGGTTCCTAGGTATGATATTCAAACAAAGAGTTATCTGCTCTTCCCTTCCGCGATGCTTTGATAGATATCAGGCGAAGTCAAAATGATGGCATGTGCTTGAAATAGGCTGATCAAGATTTAAACACAGTTAAAAGGTATATTGTTCTAGATTCCACATGAACGGTGCATACTGTCACATAGAACATGTTAGTAGTTGTTCTTTACATCGCGTGTTTTCATATTTATTCGCATTTGAATATTTGTTCCCGGGAAAAAGCCTAAAAAGCTACAAACCACATTTGCTTTTTAGAGGGAAACAAGCTGCACGATTCTACCATGCCTTTTGTAACAAGGTAGGTTTCCTCGAGCCTTCTAGCGTGTAGAGAACGCTTGCTGAACGTCGGGTGCGAAGTATGGGCCAGAATCAGAAAAACAAAAAGTCTTTGTCCTGAACAAACAAACAAAAACTTTGCAAAAACGCAGAAGGATCATTAAGCTACTGCATTTCCTTCGTTTTAACGTAAAGAGAAGTAGATCCACGCGAGAAAAATCCATGTACAAAGAACTGTAATTTTGTTGTCTCCTGTTATACAGTGTGTATGTGGAAGAAATTATAAAACACATAGCTGAATACCTAACGCCTGTGTAAGTTACGGTGTCAATGAGAACCATATTCAGTCACAAGTAAAAGGGTAACTATTAAAACCATTGAATAAGTTTTTACTAATAGCTCTAATATTCAAACAACTGCATTAGCAGTTGCCGAAAGTTTATCGAAATTAGAATGGAAGAGATGCGTTGTATTATTTCAAAAAAGACACTAATTAGTTTGTAAACTTTCGAATATGCTAATGCAGATGCTTACAGCTCGAAACTATTATTGTTTACTGTTATTAAATGATTTTGATAACTTTATAGTCAGGCGTATTACATCTATTTACGTACTTCTCATTGACAAAATAGCTAAACACTTTGAGTATATTCTTGTGCAAAAAATTTAAAAAACTTCGAAAGCGTTACATTAGTTTTAAATACTTTTTTTCTAAGATATTATTTCTCCTTTTAATATTGTAAACAAATAATTTGACTACATTGATATTTGATTGCGAGGCATAAGACGTAGGAAATGGCGTGTGTACTTTGGATGAAATTAATGCGTTATCAAAAAATCTAAGAGATTTAACATAATTAGTATTATTTATTATGCAGAGTTTCATTTTCACTTCAGATTCCAGTAACAAACATACGGAATGAATCACTGAACTCGCGGAGCTACTTAGAAAATATTAATTTAATATATGATCATGCCGAGGATCTAAACTAAGTTATGTCTCTGAAAGAGCTAAAAGTTAACTCTGACAAACAACAACTTTCTGTTCTTTCCGTAATTTGAACCTGTGTTGGCTACTACACTGAATGCTCTCCAAAGCACCTGTCTGGGTTCTTTCGAAGAGGAGGATGAGGCTTACCTTGAATCACTCGCACTTGCAGCGGCCGCTCGACCGCGCTGCACTCCTCTACGTCCCGACCGTCCCGGCACGCTGTCCTTCGCCGACAGCGCCCACCGCCCATCTGCGCCTGCGCACACGGCCCGCGGTCACGCGCTCGCTCTGGCCTTCCCACCCCCTCCCCCTCCCCTCCCCACCCCCCGCCAGCGTCATCGGCCGCTGCGCCGCGCCGGG